CACAGCGCGTTATCTACTTTGAGAACGCGAAGGACATATGGGAGGATTTGAAGAACAGATTCTCGCAAGGAGATCTGCACAGGATTTCAGCACTACAAGATGAGATATATGATCATAGACAGGGAACCTCGAATGTTACCGATTATTACACTCGATGCAAGACATTGTGGGAGGAAATGAGTTCTCTGAGACCTCTTCCAGTTTGTGAATGTTCTCCTAGATGTTCGTGTGACCTTGTGAGTAAAATTAGAAAGGAAAGAGAAGAAGATCTTGTGATTCGGTTTTTGAAGGGATGGAATGATGATTTTTCTAGCATCAAATCAGGAGTGTTATTGTTGGAACCTATGCCGGAAGTCCACAAAGTGTTTGGAATGGCACTTAAATTGGAGAGACAACTTAATGGTGAAATATATGGATTCAGTAGCAATAATGAAATCATCCATGCAAATGCTAGCCAAGGAGGTGTTACTGATTCAGTAAGTGAGGAAAGCCGGGTTGCTGCTTCAGGTTCCAATAATTCAAACACATTCAACAATAGGAAGAGGTACATCAATAATATTGGAAATAAGTCCACTGCAAAATGTACATTCTGTGGAATGAATGGACACACCATAGATAAATGCTACAAAAAGCATGGTTATCCCCCAGGCTGGGTTCCAGGTTTTAAATCCAAAGGCAAGCAGACACAAAATCAATATCAAGTAGGCCAATTCTCAGTCTCTGCTATCAATCAGATTGGAGACTTAGGAATCTCCAATGAACAATTTCATAAGCTGGTATCCCTCATTCAAAATCAAGTTGGACAGAATTCATCAACTGCAGCAACAGTTTCACTCAGTTCTCCTACTACTGCTTTGGTTCCAGATTTCAGATCCAATGCAGAAAATTCTGCTGAAGGCAAGTCTAATTCTATAGCACATATTAATTCCATATTAAAATCTCATGATGCTTGGATATTAGACACAGGTGCTACTGATCATATCACTTGCTCTTTGAATTATTTTGATAAGTGCAATGTTATTCAAGGAGCTGTAGTTAATTTGCCTAATGGTGAAGTTGTTAAAGTTTCACATATTGGAGACATCAAACTGTCTAAAACTCTCTGGCTAAGGAATGTGCTATACATTCCTACTTTCACTTTTAACATTGTCTCAGCAAGTTAATTGACGAAGCATTCTAGTTGTAGCTTATTTGTGATGGCTAATGAATGTTCAATCCAGGAAGCTCATGGGATGGTGATTGGTTTTGCTAAGGAAGAAAAGGGGTTGTACCTTTTGACAAATTCACCAAGAAAGAAAGTCCATGTGTCTTCAGTACCTATTAAAATGCATTGTAATACTGTTAGTTTAGATACTTGACATCAAAGGTTGGGCCATTTTCCTACACATAAAATGCATCTTTTGCATGGAGTTCATCCAAACTCATGTAATAAAACTCTTGTTTGTGATGCTTGTCATTTTGCCAAACACAAAAGATCATCATTTCCTGTTAGTGTGTCCTTTACTACAAGCAGTTTTGAACTAGTACATGTTGATATTTGGGGGCCCTTTCCAGTTGGCTCACTGTAGGGACAACATTATTTTTTAACAGTAGTAGATGATTATAGCAGGTTTACTTGGATCCATTTAATGAAACAAAAGTCTGAAGTTGATCCTTGATTAAGGCATTTTGTAGCTATGTGTCCACTCAGTTTTCTACTAAAATCAAGACCATAAGGAGTGATAATGGTCATGAGTTCAATATGCATGAGTTTTATGCAGAGAAGGGTATTATACATCAACGGTCTTGTGTTAATACTCCGCAGCAGAATGCAGTGGCAGAAAGAAAGCACCAACATATATTAAATGTTGCAAGGGCATTGAGATTCCAAGCAGCATTCCTAATAAATAGGTTACCTTCTCAAGTCATTGGTTGGGCAAATCCTTTTGAAAGGCTATATGGAAAACCTGTGGATTATACTAACCTAAAAGTTTTTGGATGCTTATGTTATGCCTCTACTTTATCTCAGTCAAGGCACAAAATGGAAGCAAGGGGAAGAAAATGTGTTTTCATTGGTTATCCTGCCAATGTTAAAGGATACACTCTATATGATGTTCAAAGAGGTTCAACCTTTGTATCTAGAGATGTACAATTTTATGAGCAAGTTTTTCATTTCAGGTCCAATGATGTCACAACAATCTCAGATAATTCTTTTGATCCCTCACTACCAGTGCTATCTTTTTCAGATGATCATGATTTTAACATGAGTATAGGAGATCCAGATTGTATTCCAATAAGTTCCCCACTTGCTCAGTCCAATCCTACATCAAACCAAAGTCTACCAATTAGCAGTGAACTGCCAGTTGATCCTCCCTGTGATAATCATGAACTTCCACTCAGGAGATCTACAAGGCCTAAAAATGCTCCAGTTAGGATGCAAGATTATTTTTGTGACTCAGTGTTGCATGATAGATCATCCCCATATCCTTTGCGAGCAATTCTCTCTTATGATTCATTAACTCCAGCACACAGATTGTTCACAATTGGTATATCTTCTATTTCTGAGCCAAAAACCTACAATGAAGCTGTTAAATATGTTTGTTGGAAGCAAGCTATGCAAGCTGAAATTCAAGCTCTTCAGGAGAATAATACTTGGACACTTACTGATCTTCCTCTTGGAAAAACTCCCATTGGTTGCAAGTGGGTATACAAAATTAAGCATAAATCAGATGGGTCTATAGAGAGGTATAAAGCCAGATTGGTAGCCAAAGGTTACACTCAGCAGTTGGGTGTGGATTATATAGAAACATTGTCACCAGTGGCCAGAATGGCAACTTCAGAACCTTCCTAGCAATGGCTGTGACTAAAGGTTGGTATATTCAACAATTGGACTTCAATAATGCCTTCCTCCATGGGGATTTAGATGAGGAGGTATATATGATTTTGCCTCTTGGATTTCACAGTGAAAAGCCCAACCAAGTTTGCAGGTTAGTAAAGTCGTTATATGGACTTAAACAGGCCAGTAGACAGTGGAATGCAAAACTCACAGCAGCTCTGTTGTCCATTGGTTTCACACAAGCACATGCTGATCCATCATTGTTTATCAGGGATAATGACAGTTCATTTCTTGGCTTACTTGTTTATGTCGATGACATTATTGTTGCTGGCAAAGATTATGATTCAATAGTTGCTATAAAAGAGTTCTTGGACTCTACCTTCAAGATTAAGGATCTTGGTGAGCTTAGCTATCTTTTGGGAATAGAGGTTGTGAGGACTCCTGCTGGACTTAATCTGTGTCAGAAGAAGTATACTCTAGACATTCTACAAGAATGTGGTTTTCTTGAATCCAAGCCTGTTAATACTCCCATGGTACCAGGACAAAAACTGGTTCACAATGATGGCCCTCTTCTTGAAGATGTTGGTGTATACACAAGGCTCGTAGGTAGGCTTCTTTACCTAACTACTACAAGGCCCGATATAGCCTATGCAGTCCAACAGTTGAGTCAATTTATAGATCATCCTATGGAGAGGCATTTAGTGACAGCTCACAGAGTTCTCAGGTACCTTAAAGGAGCACCAGGGAAGGGTATTTTTTATTCATCAACTTCAGAACTTCATTTGTAAGCTTTTGCCGACTCTGATTGGGCAACTTGTTCCGAAACTAGAAAATCCATCTCAGGCTTTGGTATTTTTCTCGGGGATTCTCTAATTTCATGGAAAGCAAAGAAGCAACCTACTGTTTCCAGATCTTCCTCTGAGGCGGAGTACCGGGCATTAGCAGTAACAGTATGTGAAATGCAGTGGATTAGCTATTTGTTGCATGATTTACAGATCACTCTTTCAAAACCTGCTATTGTCTTTTGTGATAACAACTCAGCTATTGCCATTGCTGAGAATTTCATTTTTCATTAAAGGACAAAGCATATAGAGATTGATTGCCATATTGTTAGGCAAATGGTTCAACAAGGCTTCATCAAACTCCTGTCTGTTGCATCTGCTAATCAAATAGCATATGGTTTCACCAAACCATTACCTTTTCCTCAGTTTAGTCAGTTTATGTCTAAGCTGGGACTCCATAACTTGTATGCCCCAGCTTAGGGGGGGGGGGGGTAACAAAGTATAATCAGCAGGTTGATACTCAAGTTCAACAAGGACAACTCAGCATAAGGGTTAACTAGTCTTTTTACATATATGTTTGTTGTGAGCGGTTACTGCCATGTATTAGCCTGTATATATTAGCTTCTGATTGTATTCTCTACCGAGTGTTCCAGAATATCTTTCCACCATTGATATGAATAAACTTCTGCTTCTGTTTCTTACCATCATGTTGTGTGTTCTCTGTTAATTCCGATACACTATCCATTCAGTGATATTATATTCCATCAATTATGTTTTCCATTAATACAAGAGAAAATGCAAAAAAAAAAAAAAAAAAAGTCCATAACTTCAATAGGCCTTTAGTTAATTGTAACCCATGGCCATATATAATCATTAAGAAAACAAATTATCCCTATTTGTGTGAATGAATTGATTAATCATAGACTATTAATGCTCATACTAATTAAATATTAAATTTTTTATACGCCCTTGCAACATAGTACATAATTTAAAAGATCAGATATGAATAAAATTATACCCATTCAATTCAAAATCACTTTCTCAAACATATTAAATAATAATACATACACATAAATTTAAACTCCGACTAAACTCTATATTTATCAAATTCAACTAACTGCTCACCATATTTAAACATGGTAAATTGGTAATCACAAATCGTCGATCTGAAATATGACTACATAACTTGCACTACTGCTGCTACAACTACAACATATGTATAAAATAAAATTTATGTGAAACCAAGTAACACACGTAATACTTTTTAACTAAAATATAGTAATATTTTTCTATAAATAATATAACGTTCTAACTAAAAAGCATTACGTACATACACATGTGACACAATCTCACATAATAATTACTCCATCTATAAACTACAAACACAGGCAAAAACAGAATTTTCACGCTTGAGGCATATCCGCAGCATTAGCTTTAGTCCAATTGCGTTTCCGAGTGGTCACCACAAAGAAAACCCCAAGCACTAAAACCACAACAAACAGAAATCCGATCAGAATTCCGACCATCCCACCACCTCCACCTCCGCCGTCCTCCGTCTTCGCCACGCTATCACGAGCCAGATTCGATTCCAGGGAAGACGCCGCCGCCGCAGGAAACTGTGCAGCAGCGGCAGTACTATTCTTGGGCCCGGTCCCTGCGGCGGGGTTGAAAAACGCGTACGCTTCAGGGGAAACAGCGCCGCCGTCTGCAGCGGCGCCGGCGGGGGTTTCGTAAGCAAGGCCGTGTGGAGCTCGAAGATCTTGAGCTCCAACAATGGAGTGAAACCCAGAAAGAACAAACAAGAACAGCATAGAATAAAGCGCAGAAGCCATGATTTTTTGTGCAGTAATGGAGGAATAATGTCTGGTTTTTATAAGGTGAAGTTGAAGGGTAGTAATAATGGCGAAGGTGGTGGTTGCTTGGACTTCAATTCTTCAGCACGAAAAGGAGGTGAAGAGGGGGAGCAGAATGATGTGAATATTATGGATTATTGATGAATGCATGGCTCAACTCCAATTAACTCCATTGATTAAACAAGTGTCATTTTCTCCATATTTATCTCTCTCTCTCCCTGATCTATATATGGGTCACAAAGAGAAGATGAACACAGTAAATATGCAATTAATGTTTAGTGTGTGATTAGATGAGCAGACAGGCAGTTTGCTTGGCTTAATGGCACAGCAAAGTGCATTGCTTTAGTATCCTATGGAGTAATTAAAAGGCCTACCTAAACTAATATTCTCCAATCATAACTTTATCTAGTACCACAGGCTGAAGAAATCATTGTGTTCCTCTGTGGGATAACATGTTGATATACCAACAAATGCTTTGTGATTTGTGGGTATCATACAACAAACTGACTGATTTACTTTATCTAATACACATTAGATAATAGATAGTTACATGTTTTTCTCACTATTAAAACAAAATTTTAATTAGGTAAACCGGATATTGGAATCCTTCACTTTAATACCATTGTGAATTGTTAGTGTTATGGAATACGAAGACCAAAGACAACAGCTTGATCCAAAATCGCTGCCTTTGACGCAACACTTTTGTCAAAGACAACAACTTTTACTTAACCGTTATTATAAGTGTGTCGTTATAGAGTAGGTATGGTTTTGATGATTAGAACTTTTTCGTGAACATTTAGACTTGATTCTTGGAGTTGTTTTTTGAAGTATTATGACTTGGATGGTGATTGGAATTGGTCATTGAAGTATTTTGACTTGGTAATTAGTTCTTGTATGTATTTTGAACCTTGTGAAAATTGTATAACTACACTTGGTGATGGTGATTGGATAAATTGTTTTTTTTTTTTTTTAATGATTATGTTTAAAATCTAAACAAGTTAAAAACAACAGTTTAAAACCGCTGTCTAAAATCATTGTCTATTCTTCAAATTATCGAGAATACAACAGGTTTCGACAACACACAATAGACAACGGTTAAAAACTGTTGTTTTTTCTAGAAAAAAGATAACAGTTTAAACCCGTTGTCTATGGGCGTGACTTTTAACAACAGTGGTTTCGACAACACTCAATAGACAACAGTTTTTAACCATTGTCTATGTGCGTGACTTTTAACAACACGGGTTTCAACAACACTCAATGGACAACAGTTTTTAGAAAAGACAACGGTTAAAAACCGTTGTCTATGTGCGTGACTTTTAACAACACCGGTTTCAACAACACTCAATATACAACGGTTTTTAACCGTTGTCTTTTCTACTAAAGACAACGGTTAAAAATTATTGTCTATGTGCGTGAATTTTAACAACACCGGTTTCAACAACACTCAATAGACAACGGTTTTTAACCATTGTCTATGTGCGTGACTTTTAACAACGTACACCGGTTTCAATAACACTCAATAAACAACCGTTGTCGTTTCTAGAAAAGAAAAACCGTTGTCTATGTGCATGACTTACAATAACATTGTCTTCAACAACAGAAATTTTACCGCTAGGACTATGTGCACTTTTCTTGTAGTGATGTAATTAAATATATGTTTGACCAAATCATTAAAGAAGCTGAACAGAAAACTGTTCTCTGTTTTCTGTTTTCTAATTTTTCAGTTTTCATTATCTGTTTTCCATTCTCAGTTTTCTATTTAGAAAACTTGCTACTAACATAAAACTATTATATGTTGTTTTCTAATTTTTCAGTTTTCACCTAAAATTTTGTTTAGATAATATTAATATTTTTTTGAGCTAATATTTAATTTTTTTTTTTGGGATATATTCATTTGAATGACATGTATATGAATATATAACTTTTTCTTTGAATTCTAATATATGTGAGATTTCAATATCCGATATCTGGACCGAACTTGTATTATGATGTAACATAATTAAAAATATTCGAACTAATAATTTATTGAGTTCAATCAAAATCTAAAACATTATATAGAGTTTAATTCTTAATTTTGATAATGTAAATAATGTCTAACTTTAAAGTGTAAGCAAATAAATTATGTTTAAATAAGTAAAATAAGTATAAAAGATAGAAAATAGTGATAAGTAAAATAAGATGATACTGAATGTAATCATAGTAATGTGGTTATAGTGACATATAACTAAATAGATGATAGATGATTCTGTTTTCCATTTCGAAAACAGTTTTTAAGTGTATTCCAGTTTTCCAGAAATTTCCAGAAATTATTTTCAGTTTTCAAAATGGAAAACTGTGTTAGTAAACATATTTTCTGTTTTCTGTTTTCTATTTTCCAGTTTCCGGAAATTTCCAGAAATTTTAGTTTGTAAACGACCACTTAAGTTCTTCCAAAGAATTCAGCCTCAAATTTGTGAAACAGTATGCGAATCAAGTTTTCTGTAGCATTGTTAGGGAGATTGTTTCTATGTTTGACTGTACGGAATGTTTGGCCATTCAATCGATCTTTATTGTAAACTTTTCAGCCTATAATTATTAATTAGCTTCTTTATTTTCAAAAAAAAAAAAAAAAATCAACCTTGAGTACACTTGAGCTAATTTCTAAATAAGGCTAGGTAGAGACTTGTTTATGTTCGATTTGGATGAACTATATATATATATATATATATATATATATATATATATATATATATATAGAAAAATTGTATCATGTTAATTGATTTGGTAAGTTTTTATGCCCAATACCACACAAAAGTAAATGGTAAAAAATATTGAGTTTGTATCATGTACTATGTAGGCATTTTTCTCGCAATACCATTATAAACTCAATACTTTTTCAATGTTTCAAGACTTTAAACTAAGTACAAGATGTACTCCTTTAAAAAAAAAATAAAAAATACAAGATCTACTATACTAACTATAATCTTTGTCATATATACATATATATATATATATATATATATATATATATATATATATATATAGAGAAAAAGAGAATCATGATCAGATGATAACTAATAATCTGGTGAGAGCATTATTCGAATTAATCTCATCCGTTCATCTACAATGATTCAATATTGAACAATGACTACGAAAATGCATTATATTTAAAAATGAGTGACACTGTATTCACGAATAATTGATTACTCATGATTTATAATAGTACACTCATGTACACTCTTAGTTATTGCACATACATTATCAAGTGTTTCTAACTGTACAATTATAATTACAAAAATGTCACTATATATATATATATATATATATATATATATATAATTGCACTCAGGTGCGAATGCTTCGCCCAGGCGCGAAATAGGAATGAATTCTGTTCGTCCACGTGTCTAGATCTAATGGATGAGAAACACTGATTTTTTAAAAAAACGCGGTGGCATTTTCGTAAATAATTGAACATCGAAGTGCAAGTAAAATGTATTACAAGTGCATGTAAAATGTATTATAGGTGCAAGTAAAAATTTACACCGAGCATCAATACTTAGTTGCACCTATAGTTCTAAGTAGTTGCACCTATAGTTCTAAGTAGTTGCACACATAGTTATAAGTAGTTGCACCTAGGTGTATGAATGTTTGCGAGTGGTTTTCAGGGGTATTACTACCCGCTGAACTCAGATCAATGAATGTTAACAAGGAAAAATTACATGCACTTATAGGTGAAAGTAGGTGCACCTATAGTTATAAGTAGTTGCACCTATAGTTATAAATAGTTGCACATATAGTTATAAGCACACCCAGGTGCATGAATGTTTGCGGAAAGTGAATGCTAACAAGGCAAAATTACATGCACTTATAGGTGAAAGTAGGTGCACCTATAGTTATAAGTAGTTGCACCTATAGTTATAAATAGTTGCACATATATATAGTTATAAGCACACCCAGGTGCATGAATGTTTGCGGAAAGTGAATGCTAATAAGGCAAAATTACATGCACTTATAGGTGAAAGTAGGTGCACTTGTAAGTGATTTTACTTGCACTTCGATGTTCAATTATTTACGAAAATGCCACCGCATTTTTTTTTTAAGTTATTAGATCTGGACACGTGTCGCGCGCTGATTCGTTCGCATTTCCCTCCTGAGCACTTATTCGCACCTGAGTGCATCCCTATATATATATATATATATATATAGAAAAACGCTCATATGTGGTCATGTCATTAGGTGTGGTCGTGTGGTCGTATCTGTGTCGTTGAATCAGTTTAATCTAAAGGCTGTGGTAATTATGAGGATTTTCGCGCGTTTTAGTAAGTGGGGGTGTTATGGTAATTACAGTGACCATTTATAGCGGGCGGGTTCTAGAATACACCAACAGTGTTGACAACATACACCAATAGTGTAATAAAACACACCACAGTGAAATACACCAATGGTGTATTCCCGTGTTATGGTAATTACAGTGGCCATTTATAGCGGTCGAGTTCCAGAATACACCAACAGTGTTGACAACATGCACCAATAGTGTAATAAAACACACAACAATGTGATTTTCCTTATTCCGGTGTTTTATGACAAGTTTACCCTTACAGTTCGCTGGGTAGGAGAATGTGCGCGAAAATACTGGAAAAATCTTGATTAATATGATTCATTAGATCTATCTAATCTAATGGTCTATAATTGACCATATGACCACACCTAACAACATGGCCACATGTGATCACTCCTCTCTCTATATATATATATATATATATATATATATATATATATATATATATATATATTATTTTTATTTAATTTTAACTCTTAATTATCTTAAATGTACATATGCACGTTGTAACTTTTATATATTCCGTAGTTGCATTGTCAAATCAAATTATTGATGGGTGGTATAGTGCGGCAAGTGTGAAGATTAGTAAATGTGAATGTGAAGCTAGGTAACTTTTAAGTCGGCATGGGCTCATTATGTCACAAGTTTCAGATTCACGTGA